TTAAAAATAAATGAACCATTGATGTGTGTGGTAACTTGGATAGATCTCAAGTGCTTTATGTTCATATAAAAATACCATCTCCAAAGATTACAGACTTTGTGATTCCATCTTTATAATATTGTCTAAATGCCAGAATTAGAGAGATGGAGAACAAAGTAGTGATTGCCAGGGCACAGGGTTGGGAGGGAGGGTGACATGTAGCTATAGAGGGGGGTAGCACAGTGGAGTTGTTTGATGGTGGTGCGGTAGTTTGGTAGCCTGATTGTTCTGGCGGATGCATGAAAAAAAAATATATATATATATAAAATTGTATAGAATAATATACATGCATATACATGCACATGTGCACATGTAAAAGCTGATAAAATCTGAGTAAGGCTTATAGTCTGTTTAACAGTATTATACCTTTGTCATTTTTTTTTTTGTCATTTTTTTTTTTTTTAAAGATTTTTATTTATTTATTTGTCAGAATGAGCACAGGCAGACAGAGTGGCAGGCAGAGGCAGATGGAGAAGCAGGCTCCCGCTGAGCAAGGAGCCCGATGTGGGACTCGATCCCAGGATGCTGGGATCATGACCTGAGCCGAAGGCAGCGTCTTAACCAACTGAGCCACCCAGGCGTCCGAACCTTTGTCATTTTCTTGGTTTTGCTAGTGTACTGTTATGTAAGATGCTGCCATTGAGGAAAGCTGAACCAAGGGTACATGGTACTTGCTGTATTATTTTTGTAACTTTCTGGAATTTTATAATTATTGCAAAATAAAAAGGTTTTGTGATTTTTTTTTTTTTCCTTAAAAGAGGCCCTCTTCCTGAGGGCCATGTATAAATCACTTAGGTGAGATGGAGGTGCTCACTTCCCTGTCATCCCACAATGCTAGGCAGTGCCTCAACTTCCCCAGACCTTTTTGCCCTGCCTTTGGCGGCCATCCAGAGTCCTTTAGCTGGATGTAGGGGGAACATTTCACTGTTGTTTTATTCTGAAGAAGCAGGATGTGACATCCCATACATGTGATTACTCTGCTAGGAGCTTGATCTTTTTTAAGAAAGGCTGATTCATTTCAGTACTTGTAACTGGGGAGAAAATCCATAGGTAACAGATGAGCAGTTTGGAGCTGACAGCTGCTCATCATTCTACTTTTTAAAATATTCGTGCCTTTTAATTTTTCTGGGAAGATAGAGACATAAACCACTGTGATCTTCTGGACTCTATTTATAAGCACTGTCCTCTAAAATTGGGGAGAACATGGAAGTGTCAGATGTATAAAATATCTAATTAAAGTCTTTTTTTCACTTCCAGCATAATTTCATTTTTTAAATTTTTGTATGTGTGTGGGGTGGGGAAGGATTGAGAGAAAATTGAGACTTGAGTATAGTACATACAGTAATTTAGCCACTTCAAACAGTTGAACAAATTGTACACCTGTAGTTAGATCGACAGTAATGACAGTGATTTAATTTTCATCAGCAAATTGCTCCCATTCTGACAGCTCTTTACCTGCAGTTTCTTACATCCGGGTTTCCCTAAAATGTTGCTGGATTGGGCAGGGCAGAGCAAAGATATTAAATGATTGTTGAAGATACAGAACCAAGGTGCCGATTACTCCACCTTAGCCCTCAGCCTTTTCAACTGAGGTTAGGGGTTGAAGGTGAGCTTGCATTACTTCCCCTGACCTCAGTGATGGCAGCAAGAAGACTTTCCATTCTTCTTGAACATTAGAAGTCAGACTAGAATAAGTGAATCTTGGAAAATCTTGAGTGTGTTTTTGGGGCAGAGGGCTCTCTTCTGTGGGCATCTTAGAAGGTGTGGGTATGCCTTGAAGACAGTATGGGTTTGGTTCTAGACCACTGCAATAAATCAAGTCAGATTAATTTTTTGGTTTCAGTGCATGTACGAGTTATGGTGACTCTGTACCGTGGTCTACTAAATATGCAATAGCATTATGTCTAAAAAACAATATGCATGCCTTAATTAAAAAAATACTTTATTGCTAAGTCAGTCAGAGAAAGATAATTATCATATGATCTCTCTGATACAAGGAATTTGAGAGTCAGGGCGGGGGTTTGTGGGGAGAAGGGAGGGAAAAATGAAACGATGGAACCAGGGAGGGAGACACCCCATGAGAGACTCTTAATCTTAGGAAACAAACTGAGGGCTACTGGGGGGTGGATGGGGAGGGACAGGGTGGCTGGGTGATGGACATTGGGGCGAGTATGTGCTATGGTGAGTGCTGTGAATTGTGTAAGACTGATGATTCACAGACCTGTACCCGTGAAACAAATAATACATTGTATGTTAATTTTTAAAAAGTACTTTATTGCTAAAAAATGCTAAACCCCTCGAGCTTATAAGTGAGTTGTAATCCTTCTGCTTGTGGAGGGTCTTGTGTCAATGCTGATGGCATTGACTGATGAGGGTGGTAGTCGCTGAACATTAGTGTAGCTGTGGTGATTTCTTAAAATAAGACAGCAGTGACTTTAGCCACATCGAACAATTTCCGGAACAGTTTCTCTGTAGCATGTGATGCGGTTTGATAATATTATCCCACCGTAGAACTTCTCTTAAAATGGGAGTCAGCTCTCTCAAACCCGTTGACTGCTTTATCAGCTGAGTTTCTGTAGTATTTTAAATCCTTTGTTGTCATTTCAGCAGTCTTCACAGCATGTTCAACAGGAGTAGATTCCATTTCAGGAAACTACTTTCTTTGCTCATCCATAAGAAGCAACTTTTCATTCATTAAAGTTTTATCATGTTGCAACAGTTCAGTCACATCCTCAGGTTCCACTTCTAATTCTCTTGATATTTCTATCACATCTGCACTTATTTCCCCCACTGAAGACTTGAACTTGTCAAGTCATGCATGAGTGCTAGAATCAACTTCTTCTAAACTCCTGTTCATGTTGATAGTTTGACTTCTTCCTGTTACGTTCTTAATGGGATCTAGAATGGGGAATACTTTCCAACAGGTTTTCAGTTTACTTTGCCCAAATCCATTAAAGGAAACACTATCTATGGCAACTATAGCCTTATAAAATACATTTTCTTATTATTTTAATTAAGACTTGAAAGTCTAAATAACTCCTTCATCCATGGGCTGCAGAATAGATGTTATGTTAGCAAGCATGAAAACAATATTAATCTTGGCTTACATTTCCCTCAGAGCTCTTGGGTGACCAGGTGCCATGTCCGTAAGAAGTAATAATTTTGAAAGGTGGTTTTTTGTTGTTTTTTTTTCTGCCAGTTCTCAATGTTGGTCTTAACATATTCAGTAAACCATGTTGTAAGTAGACAAGCTGTCATCCAGGCTTTGTTGTTCCATTTATAGAGGACAGGCCAAGTAGATTTAGCTTAATTCTTATGGGCCCTAGGATTTTTGGAGTAGTAAATAAACATTGATTTCAACCCAAAGTCAGCAGTTGCATTAGCCCCTACCAAGAAAATCACCGTGTGCTTTGAAGCCGGGCATTGACTTCTCTGTAGCTATGTAGGTCCTAGATGGCATCTTCCTCCAATAGAAGGGTACTTTGTCTTGATTGAAAACCTATTCCTGAGTCTAGCCACCCTCATGGATTAGCTAGATCTTCCAGATAACTTGCTGCATCTTCTGTATCAGCATGTGCTGCTTCACATAGCACTTTTCTGTTATGGAGATGGCTTGTTTTCTGAAACCTCATGAACCAACCTCTGCTAGCTTCAAATGTTCTTTCTGCTTTCATAAAATTAACAAAATTTTTAAGACCTCTGGATTAGGCTTTGGTTTAAGGAGTTGTTGTGGCTGGTTTGATCCTCTATCCAGACCACTAAAACTTTCTCCATGTCAGCAATACTAATGTATTGCTTACTTACGATTTGTGTGTCCATTGGAATAGCTTTTCAGTTTCCATCAGGAATTCTTTGCATTCACAACTTCGCTAACTGTTTGGCACAAGAGGCCTGTCTTTCAGTTATCTTAGCTTTTGACATGCCATCCCCACTAAGACTAGTCATTTCTTAGCTTTTGATTTAAAATGAGACATGAGACTCTTCTTTCACTTGAATACTTAAGAGGCCATTATGGGGTTATTAATTGGCCTAATTTCAAAATCATTGTGTCTTAGGAAATAGGCCCAAGAAGAAGGAGAGCAATGGGGGAATTGCCTACCAATGAGCAGTCAGAATACACAAAACATTTATCAGTTAAGTTCAGTGTCTTATATGGGTATGGTTTGTGGCACCCAAAACAACTACAGTAGTAATATCAAATACCACCAATCATAGATCACCATAACAAATATAATAATGAGGGGCATTTGGGTGGCTCAGTCAGTTAGGGTCTGCCTTCGGCTCAGGTCATGATCCCAGGGTTCTAGGATCGGGTCCCATGTCAGGCTCTCTGCTCAGCAGGAGTCTCTTCTCCTTTTCCCTCTCCTTCTGTACTCTCTCGCTCTCTCTCTCAACAAATAAAAAAAAAATCCTTAAATAAAACACAAATATAATAATGAAAATGTTTGAAATATTGCAAGAATTACCAAAGTGTGACACAGACACACAGAGTGAGCAAATGCTGTTGGAAAAAATGATGCTGGGGGCGCCTGGGTGGCTCAGTGGGTTAAGCCGCTGCCTTCGGCTCAGGTCATGATCCCAGGGTCCTGGGATCGAGCCCCACATCGGGCTCTCTGCTCAGCGGGGAGCCTGCTTCCTCCTCTCTCTCTGTCCGCCTCTCTGCCTACTTGTGATCTCTGTCTGTCAAATAAATAAATAAAATCTTTAAAAAAAAAAAAATGATGCTGATAGAGTAGCTAAATGCAGGTTGCCACAACCTAACATCTCTAAGTGTGGCAAAGTGAAGTTCAATAAAATGAGGTATTCCTGTGGGAGGATTTTTTGATAGTACAGATGAAAGAAGGTTTTGAATCCGGGAGCAGCAGTTCTTTGAGAACGGACATCCATGGTAGATAGCGACTGTCTCGGGGAGATGTCCCCAATTGATCTACTTAACCCCTTTGCTTCTATTATTTTCTTAGGCAAGGCAGGCCAAGGTTAAACAACTCTTTCGCCCCATCGAGGAGCTGAAGAAGGACTTTGAGGAGCTGAATGTTATCATTGAGACTGACATGCAGATCATGGTACGGCTAATCAACAAGTTCAATAGTTCCAGCTCCAGCCTAGAAGAGAAGATTGCTGCACTCTTTGATCTTGAATATTATGTCCATCAGGTATCGTATTTCTCTGTCCATAAATCTGACTTTTAAGTAACATCTTCAACAGCAAACCTCCCTGCCCTAAATCCTAAGAAAATAGCACCAGCATCTTTACTCCTCTCTCAGGGCATCTAGTATTTTTAACCTAGGCCAATAGCTACTGTAGTAAGATCCATTCTAGAAGAAAGGGCCAACCTCTTTTTTCATTTGCTGTGTTACATCCATTATTTTTTCAGTACCTGTTACACAGCAGGGGCGAAACAGCCATGGTCCCTGTTTTATGTAACTTACAGTCTGGAAGAGGGAACAATGAAATCATGAACAACTGAACAATGAACAATTAACAATAAATTTAAACTTAAGATTGTGATAAAAGCTCCAGAGAGTATTGTGGGAGTTTATAACAGGGGAACTTAGCCTAGTCAGAGGTGTTGAAGAAGGCTTTTGTAGATAAAGTTTTACTGGGACACAGCCACATCTATTTCTTTATGTATTATTCTGTTTTTTGGGCTGTTTCTATGCTACAGTGAAGAGTTGAAGGGTTGTGACAGAAACCCCGTGGTTCACAAAGCCACAAATCATTACTGTCAGACCCCTTGAAGACATTTGCCAGCCCTTAAATCAGAGTACCACAGGCAGAGGAAGAGCATGTGCAAAGATTTTGAGGTTGAGAAGCGCTTGGAGAGATTAAGGACCTAGGAAATACTAGATACGATAGCATAGATAAAGTGGGAAGGTTAGAGAGTCAGAGAGGTGGAATTGGGAGTATTGTGCTCTTTATGATTTTATCCTTGATTTTAAGACCCATTGGAGAGTTTGCGGCAGGGAAAGGACTGATCACACTTGTGCCATAATTACAGTAGTTAATATTTATTGAGCGTTGTTATAGAGAGGGCACTTACTCTAGTGTTTTGTACAAACCAATTTATTGATTTCCACAGCTGCCTTCTGAGTGGGTGCTGTTACTAGTTCCATTTTATCACTGAGGCAAGTAAGACACAGGTCACACCTGATAATGCCCAAGGTCATCCAGTTAGTGAGTGGTAGAGCTGGGATTTGCAAGAGGGTCTGTCTGACCCTAACCAATGCTCTTAACCTTTTGGTCACTCTGTCTCTCCTAGGATACTGAAATCATTTGAATGAAGCTCAAAAAGATCTATTAGGTAGATCTAAGGAAAAGCAATAAGAGAAGTCATTTGTTTAAGTAAATTAATTTATTGCATCCCTGTTAAGTCCCAAGAGCTATTCCAGGCACTTAAAATACATCTGTGAACAAAATTGTGGAGCTTAGCTTCTAGTGGAGACAGATAATAAACATAACTAATAAATAAATTATGGGTGTTCTGTTTAAAGTTGATAAATATGGGGCGCCTAGGTGGCTCAGTGGGTTAAAGCCTCTGCCTTTGGCTCAGGTCATGATCTCAGAGTCCTGGTATCGAGCCCCGCATTGCATCGGGCTGTCTGCTCAGCAGGGAGCCTGCTTCCCCCTCTCTCTGCCTGCCTCTCCGCCTACTTGTGATCTCTCTCTCTTTCTGTCAAATGAATAAATAAAATCTTTAAAAAAAATAATAATAAAGTTGATAAATACTATGGGCAAATAAAAAGTAGTTAATGGTAAGGATTGGCAGTATGGGAAAGGAGCATCTCAGGAGATGAGAAAGGGACATAGATGAAGCTCAGTCAGATAATGAGGGAAGATCATGGTCTGCCTTGTCAACCATGGAAACGAATATGAAACTGGACCTTATTAAAGGCTGTTGAGCAGAAAAATAACTTGCTCTGACTTAATTTTAAAGGATCCCTCTCCCTGCTTTGTTGAGAATTAGACTGGAGGCAGGGGGTGTGGGCACAGGAACCAGATAGAAAGCTATTGCCATAATTCAGACTAGGGACGATGGTGGCCCAGGAAGACTGTGTAATCATAATCAAAAGCTTGTTTGAGATCCTCATCAAGACACAGATCTTCAACATCCTCCCACTCATGACTGCGTCCTTGTTCTCTATAAACTAGGCTAAAAGACATTCTTTCTTTCTTTAGGATTGTGCTAGCCTTTGTGGTGAGAGAGGATGAGTGTATACTGTATCTGCAGGAATTATGATGCGGCCTCTTCATCTTCTTCCTTTGCTCCTAACTGTTTCTCAGGACTCAAATAGCAGGTCTATGATCCTCTTAGAGAAAAAGTGGGCCTGAGTTCTCTTTCCTCTTTCCTGTGTTTCGCTTCAGGGTGAAAAACAAGAATTCCAACAGCTTTTCTGTTACAGATATTTAAAGGATTAAGGATCTTAGGGGTTATTGGCCAACTTAGTCCTGCTCTGATCTTGGCAGCTTTTATTTTTTCTCATTTAACATACTTGGGTGGATCTTTAGGTATCAGGTTTCTACAGACTCTTCCTTTAGCTGAGCATGAAAGGCCAAATGACTAGAGAGCTGATTATACCTAGAGGGGAATGAGTATACAGGAGGCCAGCAGGGCCCTGACAAAATGTTTTGGGGTTTTTTTGTTTTTGTTTTTGTTTTCCATGCAAGTCTGGTGGTTATCTGGCAGTGTTACCTCTAGGGTGACGTCCTATTCTGCTTTCATGGATTATGAAGTGGGGTAAACAGTTTCTTCAACATCACCTGACTTATTCCTAGGTCAGACCAAGAACCAGTTCTCTGGTGAGGCTTAACTTGCCCTCTTCAGACGCTCCTGCCATATTGGAATATTAAACAGGGTTTGTGAAAAAGCATACATGTGTGTTTAGAAAATGGTTGTGAGTTACTTATGAGGTGCAGCTTCTGTCTGCCCAACATACCACAGGGCAGCGTGGTATGTTGCCTTTCCTCAATGTCTCCCTTTCTCTATTTCCTGTTGTCTGATTGTCTGGCCAGTGCTCTGGTTCTCTTCCTCTGGAGTGTTGGCACAGTTCCTACTGTGTCCTTCCTCATACACTCCCTCCCTCTACCTTGAGTTTCTATCCACCTGTCTCACCCCATCCTGAAGGTAGCCTGGGGAAACCTATGGCCCTAGACCTAGATGTGGAACTGCAGACCTGGGCCCTGATCATGACTTCTGTGTGATACTGAGCAGGGCCCAGATTTTGGAGCTTGATCTTCCGTGTGTACAGTGGGCAGAATGACTCTTTTCTTCCTCGTTTTCAGTGAAATAACAAGTGAGAAAACATATTGAAAAGGTTGAGAGGCTTATATAAATGTTAGAATTTATAATCCCCTGAATTGTCTTTGTAGTAATGAAGATAAACTACATCTGCAACAGAACCTCTGTGACTCTGTGTTGCTTTGGGGCTGTCAGACTGGCAGCCATTCCATTAGGAGTTCCTACCAGCTTCGACAAGTAGCCACCCCAGGCATTGCATGACAGGACTCTGAGCCATGGCTTTGTTATCCAGAAAACTTGGGGGAGGGGATCAAAAAGAGGCAGTGAGTTCTTAGATTTTAAAACTGTGAGAAGGGAAGGCTCATGAGGTATTATTGTACTTACCTCAGCCAGACACCCAGCTCTGAGTCTCCCTATTTGGCTGGCCTATGATCCAGTAATAACTCTTCATAAGGACAGATTGAGATGGAAAAATCCCAGCCCTGACTTGGGGGCCCAGATAGCAGAGCAGACTCCAAACTTCAGGACCCTGGATTGGCCATCTCTTCGGGTTTCTGGTACCAAGGACCCATCCATTTTGTTGGCACAGATACCCAGGTTGCCTTTTCTACTCATCTAAGTATATTATTGAGCACCTAAGTATATGCTCAGCACTGTTCTAATCACTGGGCCTATAACAATGGACAGGCAGAAAAAACCCCTGTTCTTGTGGAGATTATATCAGAATATATAAAAATGATCTTATAAGTGATGAAAACAGTCTAGGTGTACCCAGAAACAGGCAGAGTCAAAGTCCTTCAAACTCAATTTCTCTGTTACAGTCTTTGTCTAGTTTGGAAGGGCCCAGTCAGATAGGAAACGGAGGCATCTGGAGGAAAAGGTGGATAGCAGTCACGGTGTTGGGCTAGCTTTCTACATTTTCCTGATGATTCGTAGAGTGGGATCAGACTGTGGGCAAGAGGCAGTCTTTGTAGCAACAGAGGTGTTTCCAAGGGAGACTGTAGTACTACATGGAGAAAATAGGATCCAGTGACCTTTCTGAACAAGTTGAGTTTTCTTGTTCCAGGATACTAAGAAAGCCTGGGGAGTGAAATACCCTGTAGAATAAAAGGGAAATACTTTAGACTGTCCTTGGAGCTTTGGACCTGAAAGGGTAGCCTAGACCAGTGCCGTTTGATAGAATTTTATTTGATTATGGGAATGTTATGCACTCTCCAATAATAGCCACTAGCCAGTAACTCGGGCCTAGAGAACCGCCATTGAGAGAGAGAATTCCGTGCAAATTTTATCATGAATGTCCACAGAGTCAGTCAGCCTTAGATTGTATGAAGTGAGGAAGAGAGAGGACTTCTTTTTTTTAAGTGTTTGCTGCTTCCATTCCCCGCACTAGGACTGGACATGAACCGGAAGCATGACACCATTTAGAAGTCCTGATGATGCCAGATCTTTGTGTTAGAAAGCTTGTTAGGAGCAAGCTTTGTGATTCATGATGGTTATAGAATTTTTCCAGGACACATTTGGCGTAAGCAAAAACTAGGTGCCATTTCGGCCATTTCCCATGCAGGTGCTCATCAATCATGTTAGATGAATTTGGAAGTCTCAAATTTAAGAATTTAATTTGTTACTACAGATCTTTTCTAGTTGGTCAGAATGGCCACCCTTACTTTTTACTTGACTTTTTTGGGGATTTTTGAATACTTACCAAAAGAAAGGCAATAAATAAGAAGGGCTTTTCTTTGCTTGATGGCTGTATATACTAAGCCGTGCCTTTGTTGCAGATGGATAATGCACAGGGTCTGCTTTCCTTTGGTGGCCTTCAAGTGGTGATCAATGGGCTGAACAGTACAGAGCCCCTGGTGAAGGAGTATGCTGCGTTTGTGCTGGGAGCTGCCTTTTCCAGGTGAGCAGCACGGATGGACATCCCATTGGCCAGGATTGTTAGGGCCCTTCAGGTGATGTCTAGCTTTACTTTTGACCTGATTGGCCTGGAGAAAGGTTACACTTGAAGTCTTGCATATCCCTATCCACATTTCATTGTAATCCTAATGAAACTAGGGTAAGAATTTGATTCTGTCCTTACTCCAAGTAGATAAGCATTTTCACCATGTTGTTACCGTGTCTGACTCTGTGTTCCCTCTCATCTTATGGACATACAATAATGAATTTTAGATCACATTCTCTGTTGCATTCAGAGCTAATAAAAAGTTAGACCACCCATAGCTGGTTGAGTGGAAGGGAATGAACTCTAAGAGTTGATCCTTTTGCAATCTACATCTAGTAGATGTATCTAGAAGCTACATCTAGTGATGAATAAATGTTGAACCTGACCCAGATGGGCTTTGTGGGGGGAATATATGCCTTCTCCTTATCATGTGGTACCAATCAACATGCAGTCAGGTATTTGTACTCTTTGGGTTGGGATTTGTTTAAATTTTAGTTAGTCCGGCTTATGCTAGAAGAGTGATAAGGTAAGAGAAATGGGGATACAGCATCTCTTAAGAGTGGATACAGAAAGATGTTTGGGCACCACATCATAATACTAAAAAAGTCAAGATGTCTTCAAGCTGTAGTTGGTCCATTGGAGCCATAGTTCCTTTAATTTTTGAAAATCTGCTCTTAGGACTATTTGTGCTTCTAAAATAGGAACCAGTCAGTATTCTGATTCTTGGTGTAAGGGCATGGGTAGTAGCTATGAGGGGTTGCTCTGCTAGGGTGCAGGGATTACGATGTTGCAGGACAAAGGCTATTGTAAACATTTGCCATTGTAGGCTTTGTGGTTTTTTTTTTTTAAGATTTTATTTATTTATTTGACAGATCACAAGTAGGCAGAGAGCCCGGCAGAGAGAGAAGGGGAGGCAGGCTCTCCCCTGAGCGGAGAGCCCGATGCGGGGCTAGATCCCAGGACCTTGAGATCATGACCTGAGCCGAAGGCAGTGACTTAACCCACTGAGCCACCCAGGCGCCCCTGTAGGCTTTGTTTTGAAAAGATTTTCTTTGTCTTTCATCCATGCTTATTGTTACTTAATCAGAATCTCAGACTGGTGCCTCCTCACCGTGAAAGGCTGCTGGGTTTTTTCTCAGTAAATTGAGGGGCAGAGCTGGTAAGGCTGGAAGAATCTTTCCATGGGGAGGCTGAGGACTCTGCAGGCCTTCGTGCCCCTTATCATTAACCTGCTTGGATCTTCAAGCCCTGGTTATCTTGTGGTTATGTTCTTGACAGTGTAGGCTGTGGCTTCCAGGGCGATCTGCCTACCTTGGTCTCACCTACCACACCCAGACAGTCTCTCAGGAAGCCCAAGGAGATGTTTGCCTGTACATCTACTGGAAGGGTGGAGAATCTGTAAGTTTGTCATAGGTCGTTGTGATTTCAGCCCTAGACTGAAGTCCAGGGTCTTATCCTTATGGCTTCAGAGGCTTGAGAACTTATGGAAGCTCACTTTTTATTTCTCAAGTCATGAAATAACTAAATCAAACATTATTAACCTCTCTCTCCAGGCTCTTTTCAAAGTTCTTTCCTCTAATCCCAAGTACCTTCTTTCCATTTTCAAGATGAGCAAATTATCCTACATGTCCCTTGCCATTGCTTCTGGAAACACATTTCTTGAGGGAAACAGTAACATTTTGATGTCACATCTTATTTAAAGGAGACTAACCAAGTGACTTGAGAAGCATGCATTAGGCCTGTTTAGCAGGCCATAACTCACCCAGTGGTGTGCCAGTATGTAGTGTTATTAAGACTTATCCATGATTGTATTAGCATAAGACCATGTTAACATTTATGTAGCATCACTAAAATTTAAATAGAGATAAATATAAAATATCGCAACTTAGTGTTTTGGTGACAAGCGAGCTGCTGTACTCAAAACATTCTAGCTGGGCTTTTGATGGCCCACTGGAGGGCAGTTACAGTGATGGCATGGTATGGCGCCAGAGCTTTTGGAAGCCAAAAGCAGGCTCCCTAAGCATGAAAATGTCAGTGTTTTATGCACAGAGGAAGTTGGTGCAAGGTAACTCTTTCTATGCAGAGAAGCAAGCTTCCGTGCTCTGGTCTCATATTCATTATTGACTCCTAATGTCCTAAGTGTTGGTTTTATAGCTCCCTACCTGTCCCAAGTCTACAGTGTGTGTGTGTGCACACGCATGCATGCACACACACACTGTGTGATTGGATGAAGTTGCTCATTGTCAAGAGGGCATTCAAGGGATAGTGAGCATGGAACCATGGAGTTCCAGGGTTTGGGGGTGTTATTTAGATAGCATTCCTTCTAGTTTTCTGCTAATGGGTAGGAATACTGCTCATTCAGTCCAGATGTTTGAGTATATGGGAGAACCAGGCAGACCACTGCACCAAGAGTCAGAAAATCCACGTTCAAGTCTAGTGTCTGTTATTTACTGACCGTTTATGCATGGACAAGTGATTTCACTGAGCCTCACCTTTTCATCTGTTAACTAAAGGCAGTGATAGCCATTCTCTGTATTTGATAAGGTTGAGTGAACATGAAGTAACATACAGGTCCCGTGAAAAAGCTTATAGAGCTCCTGTCAGTGATGAGTGGTATAACATCATTGTATTCACCATGTGTTCTTTTTACTATGAGTTTTCACTCTAAGGCAATTTTTACTTCTTATGTTTTCACAGTACGAACCTTTATCTTCCTGATTTTCTTTTCTGCTTATGTTCTATTGCATATATTTCTCGGAGCTAATTTTGATGCATCATGAGGGTGTTTACTTGCTTACTTGGGTTAATTGCTTAATAAAGCCTCCACACACAATTATGTGGATAAAGAGATATCTTGCCTGGTGTTAACCATGAAGCAATTATTCCAAAATCAAGAAGAAAGAGTTGACATAAATGTAATTGGTGTGGCCACTGAATGTTACATGGCTCCTGAAATAGTCTGTTCCCTTATTTAAATATTATTCACACTAATTTAGGGGTCACAGACACTCATTTTCTGCTGTTTGTTGCCTTTGTGTAAGGCAGGTCATGCTCTTGCATAAGAAGATATGCGGAGATAAGGAGAATGGGGTCTGATGCCTTTGACAGCTTCATCTTTTCATGGTTTCTTTCCTTTCTTCCCTGCTTCCCCATCTCACTGCCCCTTCCCCTCACCCTCCATGTCCCCCCTCTTGCCTTCTCTCTCTCCATTCCCCCTCCTTTCTTCTTTAAGTCACTTATTTTCATTGGCCTTTCCCTGACCTGATAACATCTCATGAGGGCACCTGTCTGTACTGTCTATAGTCTGACCTACCAGGAATCTTGGAGTCCCGGACAAGTCATTGTGCTTCTATGTGTGAGAAGTCTCACAAAGGTCTTGTGAATTTCAGAGGGCCTGCAGCCTTCTGTAATCTGGTTTTGGTTTTATTTCTCAAAGTAAGAGTACTTTGGCTTCTCAGCCAAACTACCAGCTGCCTATTTTTATCTCTTAGCTCCCTATATGTAGCCTTTACCATTTAACTGTCACGAGTTAAATTATCAAGAAACTGGTGTGCTTGCCCCAGGGAGCCCTGCTTTTGCTCTCATGCCCCTGTCTCCATCATTTCTCATGTTCTATATTCATCTTTAGTAACTCACATTCTCATCTGCATACGTATGCATTATTATGCAATTAAATGGGATTGTAGGTTCTCACTGAATGCAGTACTTCTGTTTGAACTGTCCACAGTTTGCAGAGGTCATGGACCTGTGCCTGGTGCGAAAAAGGATGTACATGTGCCATCAGTCACACTGCAGTTATGTTCTGTTATGATGGATCCCCAGAATAGGATTCTGTTCTAGCCTCTCTTCTTGGCATCTGCCTTGGAACCTCCTTAGCAGATTTTGTGTTAGTTACATCTCTCTATAAAATGAATGTCTCCCTGACTCCCGACCCTGCACCCCCTTATCCCATGCTTTGTTGGCTCTCTGGTTTCCTCAGTGATACTCTTCCCACTAAAGTTTTACCAATTCATTTTTTAACAAAGATTTTATTTATTTATTTGACAGACAGCACAAGCAGAGGGAATGACAGGCAGAGGGAGAGGAACTGAGCAGGGAGCCCGATGTGGGTCTTGATCTGTGGACCCCAGGATTGTGACCTGAGCTGAAATCAGGCACTTAACTGAGCCCCGCCATGTGCCCCTTACCAATTCATTTTTAACCACTGGGCCAGTGTCCTTTCACCAACTCCCATTTCCATCTATTGACCTCCAACTTCCAGATTTCGTGGTGTCCTTAGCGAATTTTAGTGCTCTCCTTCTTGATGGCTTTTGTGAGTTTGCTGGGCCTTAACGCTCTCACCTGTATTGACCTTTATTTTTACTTCTCTTACCCGCTAGATATCTTGAAATTCATTACCCATTTTATGTCAACATCTCATGTTCACTGACCACCTCCATATTCATATTTTCATCTCTCCTGTCGAATCTAATTTTTAGCCTTATCATGACCTTTAGCCTCTGCACGTTTTCCTGTTTTCCCATTCCGTTAGTGCTCCTCACCCTTTTCCCTCTTTCTAGGCTCCTTCCTCTTTGTCCACAATGTTCCCAGTTACCCACTGACCCCTTCCCACTACTACCTTAACATTGCCTCCAACATGGCAACCTATATTTTCCTTCCCTTCCAACGTCCTCGAAAGAATAGGCAAAAAGGGATTCAGGTAAGTGCACATGACCATTATGTTCCTACTGTTCCTTGAATTTTTCAAGAGTATTTTGGAATCATTAACATCTGTGTAGCAGTCGGCAATGTCAACCAGTGTATTCCTTTGAAAACTTTATTTCTTGGGGTGCCTGAGCCTGACTGGCTCAGTCAGTGCAGCATGAAACTCTTGATCTTAGGGTTACGGGTTTGAGCGCCACTTCTAGAGAATACTTACAAGCTTTAAAAAAAATAAGAAACTTTACTCCTTGGCTGCC